TTTTTTAAATCTTTTACAAAGTTGGAAGCTTTATTTAAAATATTTCTTTTTAAAAAATATAGTTATTTTATAAGCTTATTTGTGAATTTAAAATATTTTTTTTTAATTTTTAATAAAAATAATTTTTTATAATAAATATTATTTTAAGTTTTATTTATTTAATTTTGTTAAGTTATTTAATTGATTTAAATTATATATTATAATAAATATTATTTTTAAGTTTTATTTACTTAATTTTGGTTGTTAAGTTATTTATACTTTAAAAAAAAAAATTATATACAAGATAATCTTGCGCATCGTCCGCAAGGATATTTATATTCTTTTTCTTCCTCCTCGTGGATCATTTTGAGAAAAACCCCCCGTCCATCGGAATTAATTTAAACGTTTGACAAGAGCGCCATTAGATTTCAATAAATAAAATCGAAGTTATTTAACAACGCATGGGAGAATTAAAATTCTCTCTCGGTGTTCGTTCGCACACCTGAATGTAAACACGCGTAATACAGATCACGATCGAGTCACGACGTTATTGACCCAGTTACCCGGCTTAATGAATAATAAACTCGAGATTAATCGGCCTCTCTCTTTCTTTCTTTCTCCCTATCGAATCGAGGTTTCAGAATACTTGGAATTATTCCATTTCCCCCGATACGACTATTTCACTTTTCTTTCTTTCCATGTTTATTCCGCGAATTTAAAATGTAAAAATGAGAATTTTTTTTTTTTTTTTCTTCTCCTTCTTATTCAGTTCCACGAGTGATCGACCAGGACTTGGAGAGATACGAGCCCCTCGAAGAGGAGGATCATCAGGGTGTAAGGGTTCCTTTCAAGCTGGAGGAGACTTACGATCAAAGTTTCCGGGCGAACAATTTCAACGGTACCTGGAAAACGGACAGGGAAATCCTTTATTCGGATAACTACGTCGGCGATATTCGATTGTTCGACGTTACGACCGGATTGGGTACCGTTCTCCTCGATTCGTCTGTGACGGTAAGATTTACTTTTCTTTATCGCGTGGATATAGTGAAAAATAATTAAATATATTATATTTAATGTAAAATAATTAAAAAAATGTGTATCGATGGAAACAGAGATGAGTCGAAATTTTGAAATCGATTTTTATTTGCAAAGAAGTCGAAACAAGGTACATCTATCATTTATATATAGGTAAATTTTGGGCGCGATAAATTACGTTTCAATTTGAGGAAGAAATTGAATGTCCTCTCTATCGAGGAAATTCTCCTTCCTCCGTCCAGCTTCTTAACCAATGAAAACACGGTGTCCATCCTCTGATGGCCCGTGAATCAACATCGAATTGTTGTTGATTCAAGAGACACGTTGTTTGACATTTCTCCGTTTCAATTTTCGCGCCAACGACATTCCACGTAAACGCTTTCTGATCTATTCGAAACTTGTGCAATCAAAAAGACTTTTTTTCCTCCATTACACGTGTATATTGTTCACAGTAATATATCTATCAGGATCTATAAATATTTTACAGATTAAATCTTAAAGATTCGATATTTTCTTATCGAGAAGTATTTACAAAAGAAGAAGAGGCGAATAGATAAGGTTTAGTCGAAGCATCATTTAATCAAACAATTCCAAAAATTCTTTCTCAAGAAAGAATGATCGACGTGGAGTTTCGATGTTACATTGAACATCGTCGTTTCTATCTCTCCAACGATCTAAGATTTAACGTATCGTATCTGAAACCGATAACATCGATATCAATCGAGCATTCATTCCGCCATATTGGCCATCGACATAATTCCTAATGTCGATGTACTATTAGCATCAATTTCCTCTTATCTCTGTCGATTAAGAAACGATGAACAGAGATCCTCGTCTCTCCTCGCAATCGTTCCTTCAAAATTTCGACGATTTCTCTCTTTTTTTTTTTTTAAAAAAATCGACACTCACGTCATTCGAATAATCCTTTAATTAATATATCGTTTCAGGCCGATTTCGATAAAGCCTCCGTAATGTTTTCTTTCGACAATTCCTACGTAGCCATCGGCCACGACTACATAAACGTGAGTTACTATTTTCCCCTTCCCCAAATATCAACAATCTTTTCTCAACATCAACTTTTCCAGGGGTTTCGATACTCGATACACCAAAAGTGCACCGTGTACGACATTAAATCCAGGTTAGAATTATCTATTTTTTTTTTTTATATTACCCTACGTAATATTATATTCGTTACGTAATAAACTCGCTGATAAATCAAAAAACGATATAAACGAGTTGCACAGTCGTTGGCAATAATGATAATATTAACGACCGATAATACACACGTTGTTGAAAATAATTCCGTTGCGAATAATCCGAGAGAGAGAGAGAGAGAGAGAGAGAGAGTGAAAGAGAGAGAGAGAGAGT